AACACTTGCTGCCATGTTTTTTTAAATCCTACCGGCGGAACGATCACATCGTCCGAAAAAAGGACGGCGCCCTGCCCTTGCTCAGGCCCATGGAGGGCGACGATCACAAGGAGGTCGAGGCTGGGGGCGAAACCATCGGGTTCTGTCGGCATACCCTTGGGATCCAAGTACCTTCTCAGAAGTTAATTGGACCCTCCTGGCACCTACATAACAGTGTCTCCAATCATCGTACCTGAGAAGGTGTTTGGATCCCTAGGGATAGGGCCCTACCAGTGCCTGCCAGCATCACTCAAAGAATGGTTCATAGACCCTCCTGAAGAGATATGTTCCACCCAATAACCACCCTTTGGGTGGTGCTGGTAGGGGTCTATTTATAGACGCTTGGAGGTTAAGGGATGTCAATTCAGAGGGGACCCTGGTAGTGAAGCTTTTGTTCCTTCCACCGTCAGTTCTCGCTGTTCTCACCCGCACAATCCTAGTCGTACCTCATCAAGCAGTCAGCGCAGTCAGTGGTTGAATGGTTTCCATTTTCCCTCTACTCCGTCAGCTGACAATGCGATGGGCTGCGTTCACGCGTGATGGGTGGGACACAAACCTCCTGTCCTCGGAGTGAAACAACACGGAGTTTTCGATACCCGGCGCAAGAGTTGTTACACCGGGGACACTGTCGGACACCCCCCCGGGGACCGAACCCGAACCGGTCTTCGGGTCCTTCGTGTCCACCTTCACCACGTTCCACCACCGAAGGAGTCAGAAGGGTTGGGTCTCTTCTCGGAGGCGACACGCCCGTCCAATCGCATGACGTTCCGTCCCTGTGCCTCTCGGTTTCCGGATGCTTAAACGACGACGACGGAGAGTAGATGTGTCGTGTCGTGTCGTGCCTCGTAGGGATGGTATTTTTGGCATGTTTCTGCTGCAAACTTGGTGATCATTGGTGGAGATCTTGACCCTAGGGATCCAAGCACCCTCTCAGAAGGCACCTGGACCCTCCAAACCCACCCCAAACACCTTCTGAGAAGGCACTTGGATCCCTAGGGTGAACAAGAACATGCCAAACAACTGGTATTTTCTGCCGATCATATGGTCCTTCCCCGAAGCGCTTCACACACCATTCCCGCTCTCGCCCGGCCGCTCGGAAGGTGCCGAAGAGTTGGAGATCAGTTCTGTCAGCGCCCGAGCCGCGTTGTTGGGAGCCGCGTTCTGTCGATGGCCCAGTCGTGCTGGCCGGGTTGTGCTTGGGTCGGGTGGCGAAAGCGACCTCCAGTTCGAAGTCAGCTTCTTACCACGAAGTTGTTGGATGACAGGGATCTGCAATTGTCGCAAACACTCATGAAAAAACACATGATGACTGAGGTGTTTGGGTCGACCGACCGGGAAGGTATACTGAGCCTGATATGGCCTAAAGGGGGGAAGAGGAATTGACTGACCCTGTTGGTCTTCCATGGTGTTCAAACACTGGGCATGGGCTGGATCCTAGGAGTGTCATGCAGATTCCTCGAAGTGTAGGTCGACCATTCCCAGACCATCCATGCTGTATGCAACTGACCCTTCAATGAAGCACATATTAAACACATCCTAATGGCCCAACCCTACACCTCCAGTCATACCTCCTGAGGTTCTCTATGAACCCTCCTCTTACCGCACCTATACCGTCCCACCGAACCCAAGCGGAATTCGCTACGACGCAGACGTCGGCCCCGAACGGGCCGAACGGGTATAGCACACATGCAAACATCTTCCCGTCCGGTGGATTGTAAGGACCCTTCACTTCCAAAACGACGCCAACGCAGGGCGCAAGCAAGACGTGAACGCAGCATAACGCAGCAAGACGAATCGTTCAGGACATCGGTTTTGAGGCTCCCAAGAGTGTGTAAAGACATGGGAACGACCTGGTGTTGTAGCGTAAAATCATGTAAATTCATGTAACCCTAAGAATCAAGGACCCTCAGCCGGTGAAGGTTTGGTTCGGGTCCAGTTTCCCTGCGGAACCTGCAGGGTCCAAGCCCTCCAGTTCGGAGGTTTAAACAATGGTTGTTTCAACTGAAGGCCATCGAAGAAAACATGGTGGGCCAGGAAGCCTAGGGGAACAATTGTAGGTTATAGATTCTGCAGGTCATCTTTGGGGAATGGTCCAGGTGACACTCCACAGGAGGAGTGCATTCGGGGTTCACCTTCATTTCCCGGTCCAAACGGCTTTGGAGTCGATGTTCAAAGCACTTGAAACATCTTGAAAACGTCTATACCCGAACTCGGCCTCCGTTTTCGTACCGAACCGCTTCGGTTTGGTGGGACGACCGGGGGGGTGGGTGCCAGGGTCAGGTCCAGTCATAACCTGAGGAGGTACGAAAACGGAGGTGTTGTAGCCCTACAGCTCTCTCGATTCGCTCGTGTGCCGTGCTTTCCCAGGCCCTTTTTGCCAGAGACTGTGTTGGGAAACCAAGTTGGTGGGGCTGAAGCGACGTCCTGCGCATGTAGGGCACCGAGATGTGTCGCAAGAACTCCGTGATGGTTCCGCGGTGGAGTTGACAGCTTGGGCTAAGACAGCAAGATGGGAAGATGGATGGATGCGATTGAGCATCCGGAGATTGAATCTTACCCTACAGGTCAGCGATCTCATTTGACTGGACGTGGTGGTGATGTCAAAGACCAGGGTTTACTGAGTCAGACTGGAAGTACGTAGGGTTATTATATCGAATCTTTGCTATGGTTGCTATTTAGATGTATACCATGATACCACAAACACGGAGTTCGAACAGAATAAGAGGATGGTCACTGGCGCTGTTCGCGGCGGCGAAGAGTCCCTTTGTAAGGAGAGACTTAGAATCAACGATTCTTCAAGCACAAATGCTGAACCAAGCTTCATCTGTGCTCCTGGCCTACCTTCGTTGAAGGTGAAGGTGGTTGGGGTGTTTGTGGGATTTGTGGGGTGTCCCTAAAGCTTCTGAGGATATGGGACAGGAGCCCTAGGGACTACTTTCCACACGCCATCTACAGTATATACACATTGCCCCTATAATATATATATGCCAGTCTCACGGAGTGTTTGGGTATCCAGAGTTCTCGCAGATGGCGTAAGAGTTGCGAACTCTGTTCTGGCTGGAGCAAGTGAGGGGAGGTGGAAAAGCGACCCATAAAGACTGTTTTGGTAATGTTTTCCATACCACAAATAGGACATCAAACAATATTTGACCATAATTTGTCCCTTGTTTTTTCACGTGGCCTGTGTCCCCGTTTCACTATCTTTCAACCTTCTCATTCTAAGTGATATATATCCCAGACACGACACATGGGACTGGTACTATTTACCAATCAGGCCAGGGGTGGTAGTGCCAGAGGGTTCAATTGATCCGCATATATGCATATATGACAGACATCGAGTGTTGGGGTTGACCTGGTGCCCGGGCCTTCGACCGCCGCTCGTGGGCCGTCTCGACCGGCGAGACCAGGCGGGTGCCACAGAGCGTCAAGGCCGAGCGGTGTCGCTTCCTCGAGAGCGCGCCGCTTGGGCGCGAGTGAGACCGGTGGGCTGAGCCCCGAGCCCAGGCACCGGGCTTTGGTTGGGTTTGACCATGGGTCAGAGAGTGTGGGTGTGCAACTTCGGTGGAGGATTGGCGCTGTTTGCTTCAACATGGGCTTTGTTGGTCTTGATGCAGCCTTCAAGCAACCCACCGGATTGGACACGGGGCCTGACATGATGCGTTAACATGTTGACTTTGGTGCACAGCAAAGTTTGGAAGATCTACATTCCAGACACACCCATTTGGACTCAGTCCAAGCGCCGTCCAAGCAGTCCAAAAACGAAGCTCGAACCCCGCGTTGGTCCCCATATATCTCCAAGGCCCAAGGCCCAAGGCCCGCCATATCTCGTAGACCAAGTCCGGACTCCGGAGCTCCTGCGCCGAACCCCCCCAAGCCGCCCCTCCACGTCATCGCGAGACATGACCGTGACACCGCCTCACCGAACCCACCCACTGGGACGGTCAACCCACAGGGATGGTCGAAAGAACCACCTCAGGACTCAGGACGGAAGGCGTTTTTGTTTCGTTTCGGACCGTCAGCGGCGCCGAATTCAGCGGCTCTCTTCGCATCCACCCTTGCTTCGCGCCGAGGAACTGCGCCTCCGTGTGCGTGAACACCTGCAAGGCTCGGCTTCGATTGGGGGGTGTTCCTTCGGCCGAAAACGGGGTCGTTTCGGGACGCCGAAGCACCGGTCGATGTCGGTGTTGGGCGCGGCGTACCGCTGGGGAGAACCCCAGAGGAACCTCCACACACGGACTGCCCGAAGACGAACCCTACAAGTCCGTCATGACCCAGCACGTGAAGTGAGGTCATTGGCTTGTGGGGTAAGGAACCAGGCGTCCATTTCGATCGGTCTATTCTATGGTTGGTCATCGAATAAGTTGGAACTCTCAGCGAAAACCTGGAGTCTGAAGAAGATATCCCTTGGAACATGGGACGTCCGACCCGAACTGCAGCTGCAGGTATACCACTGACTGGGGGTCCCATGTCGACTCCCTGGTATTTCACGGGTCGACTGTGGGAGGTGTCTCACCCGATCCTGCTCTGAGGTGCCCAGTCAGGCTTGGCTCAAGGACGACTTCGGGATGGAGCTGCACATCCAGCCGCTGGGGCGGAAAGAGAGCGCATCTCTCTTAAAGATCGTGACCCAGATGGCATACCAATAAAACCGGCGTATGTACCACCCCAAGGTACGTAAACTGGTTTCCCACCCCAGAGATATGCCAGTCCAATTAGTCGTGTTTGGGTCCCAGGGAAAGAACGGTCAATCACAGTGGTCGCAGTGGTCGTACGACCAGACACGTTCGTCGTTCCAAGGATCGATCGAGGTCCCACCACGACCACCACGAGCGAGGTCAAATGGTCAAATGAGTCGATCTCATTTGGAGTCCTCCTGTCTTGCATTCATTTGGCCAGAGTAGGTTGGAGGCCATTGCTATTCGGTTGGAGGTGGACTTCCTACCGTCCCACAGCTGTGGACAGCTCAGACCTGCAGACCGAGTGAAGGCTCAAGCAGCGAAGGCGCGGAGGCGTGTAGGCGTGAGGCGTGGCCCCCCATGGCAAAGCGTGTGCCATTGTTTTGGAAGCTGGCTGTGGAATCTGACGACTTGCGCTGCTTCAAAGCTGAAGGCATGCCACGTGGTCATCGAGATAATGGTTTATATAGACTAATTTATATCTATTTTGCTCGATTCGGCGTGGACTGTGACCATTGCACAGAGCATCAGTAACGCCAGATCAGTTCCAGTCGCAAAGTAACGTCTTTGTGAGATTGGGTTAAGGTTAGAATGTCCTCAATCAATCATGCAGCATGCACATTGCTCAGTGGAACTCTACCCCTTTGCCAGGCTTGATGCCTGTGGAGCGGCGCCATGTCACCCTGCTGTATTTGGGTGGACGCTCTGCTTGCAAGGCGGCGCCCTTGAACAACCTTTCAGTGGAAGACCTGGAGCTCATGACCCAAGCCTTGCAGGACATGAAGGGTATGGAGGTGGGACAGAAGATACACTGGACACGAGCGGATCGAATGGTATGAACAAGTATACATCTATATGCTGCATGGTATGATATGTATAGGATAGATATGAACACGGGAATCGTATAGTATGTCGAATGATTTGCATTTATTTATATTGATTGATGTATCATGCTTTCAAGTGTTGGTGTATTTTTTGTACTCACTGATCCCAACGCATGTTTCATGGTGAAGTAATATACTCAAAAGCCCTGCGAAAGGTTGACTTCGAGGTCGTTCGAGTACTCCAGCACCCTGACATGATCGTAGCAGAGGTCTCCCTGCCTGAAAGCCTTCTGTGCGCAAAGGCAAATCCACATACTGTATGACCCTCTGTCACAGAGAGGATGTGGCACCCATTTTCGCCCGGACTTTGTTGGAGAATCCCTCTTCCTGTACGCATGTGTTTGACCTTATGCCCAAGCTCCGCTTATGCGGTTCAGTGGACTTGGAAGAAGGGCCAGCTCGTCCAGGGCAGGTTCGTGAAAAGCGAGAGGCAGATGTAGCAGCAGGAACATGGGTGCATGTGAAGAAGCACTCATCTATGGGCTGCGCGGTGGTTACTTTGCCCAACCCTGTGTTGCGGGATACCATCCTGCAGCGCTTCTCAAAGGGTGTGGTGCTGGAAGGGAATCCTTTGGACTTGAAGAGACATCACCAAAAGGAAGGCCCGAGGGTTGGAAAGTGCGGGTTTGGAAAAGAGAGGGCATCTACCTGCAAGAATACAGAGCATCCCATGGCCCAGATGGTGGTAAATACATATATATATATATGATTAAATTGCTCATGATGTGCAAGATGTGTTTCATTCATGTTTCAAGGGTTTATGCATGTTTTTCTGCTGGGTCTAGAGGAATACATTCATCCCCATGCGCCAATGGCATGCCTCAGGTGATGGGTCCAAGCGTGAGGTGCCAGAAGCCATTTTTGTCGGATGGAAACAGCCCAAACACAGCAGCCGCGAGCGGTCGCCTTTGAGTGCTGAAGATCACGAAAGGTAGCCCTTTAGGGGATACCTTGAGTTTGTCTTGCGAAGCAAGTGTTGGGACGTCCGGGTCTAATAATTGATCGCTCAATTCAGACCCCCCCCCACCCCC